TTTCCGAATTGGTTTCAGTTTAATGAAGGCATGCACATCTTGCCTTTCCGATTCCCGCTGGCCTGCTTTGACATTCTCATCCGTACCATCCCCTGTAGTTGAAACGATGCTTCGTAGCCGGATAAGTGAAGGAGGTAACCTCTGTTAAATATCTCCCGTTGATGGTGATTGGTTGGTCATCTTCATCACCTCCGTCTTCTCAATGTTCACCTAGAGTCCTGTCTTCGCCGGCTGCTTCTTCAGCCAGCAAGTTTGTTGGTTTTCGCCTACCTGTAAGTCTTCGAGTTTGTGTGATACCAGACATATATATATCATCCACGCGCGAAATCCAGATATCTTCTAGAGTCAGAGTCACAGAAACACGTGTATTATATCAAAACACAGAGAGAATGAGAATTCTGACAGTATACTCAAGCCCATCTACCTTCCCACTAAACAACATGATAAGTGACGCAACACTAACACCCTATTGCAGAACTAATTAATTACCTCAATCTGCCGTCTATGTTATTATTTCCCAAATAGAAAATAATGAACATCAGCGAGTAATGATAGTTGCTTTGTTTTGTTTTTTTCAGTGCCACTCTATGTTTCCGCAGTGTTCACTGAGTGAGTGGGTGATAATCACCGCCTTTATCATCAGAAGAATAAGGAAAAGAACCTGACTGGTAGGCAGGTAGGTAGGTCGAGGTATAACAATGCTGTGTAGTCAGTTATTCGACTGAATTCATTTACAAAAATTGAAAACAAACTCTAATCATTACGTTGTCAGATAAGAAAAATAACAATTTCTGTGTTTTGACTGGAATTTTGTATATTAAAAATCAACAAAAGGTGATTTAGAACTCATGAAGTATATGATTTAATTAACTATTATTACCACTATTATTATTATGCTTCTCGCCCCCAATGCAGTTAGATAGTTAAACCTATGAATTTCACTCAGTACGATACATGTTCCTTTTTTTGAACAATCTAGAATTCACAGAGCTGACATTTATGATGACTAACTGTAACACTGTGCGTCGGTGGCATAGCGGTTACGACGCTCGCTGACCATGCACATGGTCTGGGGTTCGATCTCCGGCCACCGACTCACTCCTTTAGTTCGCTAAGCCAGATAAAATGCTGGTGAAGGGGAAAGATTGGGCATGAGGCTAGCAAACCCATTCTGTAAAATAAACACTGCTACAGAAACTTCAAGCCACTAGCTTGAAGTCCTATGTTCCACTGGGGAACGTGAAGGGAAAAAAAACTGTAACACTGGCTTAACACGGAGACTTTCATATACAAATGACAGTTTTAAAATTCACATTGTCACACACTCCAAATAAGCACAGAAAGGTAGAGGAAACAGACGAATCCAAACGAAGTTGAAATGGTCAAAAATATACATAAATAGTGAAATGGGAAAAAAAAAGAAGAGAAGAGAAGACTAAGTGGATCTGAGAGACTGCAACAGAGATAAAATGAATGATGAACGACTGAATCTACACCAATAGAGAGAGAACAGTTTTAAGCCATATCATCATTGATAGCCTTCAGTCATGGGTTCTTAGCATCTCTCGCGGACCTGGTTGAAACCAACTGTCAAAGACTTTAGGGAACAGTGCGCAAGGTTTGTTTGTTTGACCTAAACGTCAGCTAATAACTGCTCGTCGAGGACAGGCGGTAGCTTGGCATGCGCACAACGTGTTTATCAGCCGAGTTGATGTGTAGCTGCATAACTTCCTCGATTGACTTCGGAAAGATTCTATGGAACTATCTTGACTTAAACCTGCAATAACTTAGTTATTCAGGAAAGATCTTCCATACATCAGATCAGGAAACAGGCATAAAATGGACTCACACAAAAAACTTGGAGGATGTGGACTTCGCCGATGATATATGTCTGATTTCCCACAAACTGGAAGATATGCAAGTGAAAACCGACAAGTTGGCAGAAGAATGATCCAGAAAACATAGGATTTCAGGTGAACATAGAGAAAACAGAGGTGATGAAGATTCCTGGGCAACACCACCAACAGCAACCACAAAACAACAGGCAACAATGAGCATAAATGGGAGGAACCTGAAAGAAACAACCTCTTTTACCTACCTGGGTAGCATCGTTCCATCTACAGGCGGAACTGACGAGGATATCAAAGCAAGGATCGGAAAAGCAAGACAAGCTTTCACTACTCTCAAGTCTGTGTGGAGGTCAACAGCACTCAGCATCAAAAATAAGTTAAGGATTTTCAACTCCAACGTGAAGTCAGTGCTACTCACTATACGGATCAGAGACTTGCACTGCGTGTCATAAAGAGCATCTCAAACAAACTACAGACCTTCATTAACAGTTGTCTTCGCTCAATACCACTCAAGATCAGATGGCCGGCCAGAAAAGATCAGCAACAGAGATCTCTGGCAATGAGCGAACCAACCAGGAACCGATTGTGAAACAAATAGGCAGGAAGAAATGGAGGTGGATTGGCCATACTCTGAGGAAACCATCAAGTGACATCACACGCCAGGCCATCACTCGAGTAGAACCGGAAAGGGAAGCGGCGAGTTGGTCATCAGTGCGAGTGTGACTTGAAGGAGGTCATGTGAAGAGGAGATGAAAACGTGTGGGCAGACTTGGAGCCAGGTTCCTCTAGGAATTAAAGGATACAATAATAATATTAATAATACATCAGATCAGACTATGAGCTACATTTGCTCTTTGTATGTGTCGGGGATGGGGAGGGGAGGAGAGGAGAGGGGAAAGTGCAATTCAAAACAGGGACCAATCGGGAATTTTCGCCAAATGAACGCTGTTCTGAGAGTACTTGAAAGCGCATAATTGTTCAAATTGCTACACATCATATAAGTTTCAAGGTGCTAGTGCAATTAAAATTTAGTTTTCTCAGTGAAAAAGGTTGAGTAATTCATCATGTACACGAAATCGTCAAACATCGATCGTGTGACGAGGTTAGTGAGAGTAAATAAAACATGTGAACAAAGATAAGAAGTTATAAAATAATAGTGAAATAACAACAATCAACTTTATAACTGCGCATAACAGCAACAACGCAACACTTTACCCTTTCCATGAGAAAAATCGTCTTCTATGATGATGATAATAGTGTGACGGTCTAATTGCGACAATCAGACAACAACAACGAAAAGTTAAATGATTAAAAATGCCCATTAGAATTTTCAAAAGAATAGACACGGAACAAAGAGTACTCTTTTCGATAATTTCATCATCAGGTTCTACAATTATATATACATTATAATGAATGAATGAATTAGTCTTATGAACAACATTATTATTGTTTAAATAACATCTTTTGGACACAGAGTACTGGTTGTTTGAGGCGAATTGCAATAGCCTCAGCTGTTTGAAGCATGCGGTGCTTCGACGATTTTGGTAGTTTGGTAGGCACCCGGTAGATGATAGAGAAGGATTCTTCTACGCTGGCTTTGTGACCCGTTTGCACCAGATGGTCTAATATCGAGCTGTTAATAGTTTTAACTACACCTTTACTTAGCCATACTGGGATATGTTCTCGAGCACGAAAAATCAAGTTCCTAGAGCAACGGCCAACATAACTCGCTCCACAAGCGCAGTTGAATTGATAGATACAATTTGAAGTGGCCAGCTAGTCTAGGTACTTCATCTTTCAGTCGAGGTAGCACCATCGGTCGTGTAGAGAATAAGACGTGCAATTCGCCAGCATTAAAAGTTCTTTGAACTGAATTTCTTAATTTCTTCGTAATTATCTCACTTGGTATATCGCCCATGAATTGTAGTCGTATATAAAGTGGCTTCTTGTTTACAGATAGTGGGTAGTCCTTTTCGGCTTTCTTTGTCATATGTTTCTTGATAAATTTGTCAGGATAACCATTTTCGATTAAAGTATCATATACCATGCTTAATTCATCTTTAATTACTTCTTCTGAGCATATAGCTCTAACTAACTCTGTGGCTGAGGGTCTTCACTAAATTCCTTTTGTAATTGATGGGAACGAAGCTGTGTAAGTGTGTATATTGTCCCGTCCAAGTACTTTTTCTATGTAAATTTCTTTTTATGCTACTCTGTCTGGTTTTCTTGTAAGTAGGACATCCAAGAACGCAATTCTGTCTTGGGATTCCTCTTCGCAAGTGAATTTCACAGCCGAATTCATTCATTCATTCATTATAATGTGTATATATAATTGTAGAACCTGATGATGAATTTATCGAAAAGAGTACTCTTTGTTCCGTGTCTATTCTTTTGAAAAGTTAAATCAATGCAAGAACAACGACATGCATCAACAGCAACCTCTACTACTACCAGCAACCAATTTTGATTAGTTTATAAAACGAAAAAGAAAAGAAAAACAACACAATAAAACAATACTGTGGTGGTGAGTCGCCGCCGGTCACAGATATATATATATATACTAAAACTAAAATATCATCACTAAGACAAAGCAAACCCGCATGCAACTACTACTACTACTACTAATTTACAAAATCACAGTTTTGTCCAAGCAAAGCAGCGGGGGGTTCATCCGCATATACGGGATTACTGCTTTCAACCAATAATTCACTTCACCAAAAATAAACAACAACAATAACAACAGTATGTCTGTGGATGCAGAGTAACCTAATAATCATAATTATAATTATAATAATAAGAGAATCAATCAACGGGTATATGACAAACAACAACACTTGTGACACATTGATTATATCTATTGTCAAGCTAAGCTAATGAAATATGCTTTATCATAAGGAATTTTAAAAAAAAACCCGACAACAAACATTCAACTAAGTGATGAAAGGAAGAGGTTATGTCATCCATCCAGCAACACACACCTATGTCAATATTAGTTGATAGGTGAATTTAGATAGACACAAGAGCAAGAGACAGGGGAACGACACGTACAAACACACATAAATACATTAAAAAACATTCTTGAAGAAGAAGAATAAGGAAATTATTACATGATAAAAGAAAAGGGGATATTACAGTGATTATTTGATTTACCTTCCAGAAGTTGAACTGCTATATGCATACATAAAACACAATATGATATTATTATTATTACCATTATGACTGACTGTCGGATACATTCAGTAAGAAATGAAATAGAAACCAAGTCGGAAATTATATACCTAGGCGTCATTCTATCTGTTGATCTCTCCTGGTCGTCTCATATCTTAGCGATTTCTAAGAAAATATTCCGTCTTACCTTCTACATCAAGAAGTTAAAACATTCTAGTATAACCCCACCCTTACTCCTACAATTCGTTAACTCTCGCATTCTGCCTATTATTCTCTATTGTTCCCCCTTAGTTTTTCTCGGGCTACTGAAGAAAGACTATACCTTATTACGCAGGATGTTAAAGGTTTTCAGCAGGGTAAGCAATGTGCCACTTAACCAGCTTGTTAATACTCTGGTTGACAGGCACTTGGACTCATGTGAAAAATGGGCCAAATCCATTCAATCTAATTTACACCACCCTCTTCATTCACAACTCTCCCCTTGCATCTCATCAGGAAAAACCAGAAGCCTATGTAGAAAACTATATGCTCCCACCAGCAAGTACAAAAACTCAACCATACCCTACTTAGCTCGTGTTCTGTGCGATAAAGAAACCATTAGGCGTGAGACCTATAACTTATTAAGTAGTTAGTAGAACAACTGGACCTCGTCTTTCCAACTCATATCATTTATAGGTACAACATTTTCTTTCTTTCTTTTCCTATTCTCTCTCTCTTTTTTTCCGTTATGTGCTGCTTTGTTTCTTTCTCTCGCTTACGCCAGTAAATATGACAGCTCCCACTTTTCTAACACCTTCAAACACTGTTCACTATTGGCTTTGCTACCGATATCCCAATATGTTGTTGTCATAATGAACCGAGATTTCCCTTAATCTATGTAGAATTTTATTTATTGATAATATACTAACTGGATGCAATAGTGTAGTGAAATGCTGAGAATTCCATTCTGTATCACAAGTACTGTTTTGGAATAAAGCAAATTATTATTATTATTATTGAACAAGAACAACAGTACATCAAGGTGGTGAATATTGTGGTAACAATGCAACGAATAAAGACATATATATATCAGTGAGAGAATACCACTAGGAAACCGGGGAGTACTGGACACCTATTGTGTCGTGGTTTCGAACTATTGAGCACGTTTTCCAGTGGCTGTCTAACTGATGTCACCACACGACCAAGTTTGTAGCCAATCAAACCCTTGCAAACTTCGCATAAAGTCAGTTAATACTAGCAGCTTGATTAATTGTAAACAATCACAGGCAAATTTTTCATACAACTCTGATATTACTACAGGTTAATATCTTAATTTTGAGTAAAAAGTACGAAATTGACGTTCACTTCACCTGGGGTGAACACAAGACAGCTAACAATATGATCTCCAGACTGGAGGTCGTAATAGTTAGGAAGAAACCAGTTTTCATTTCCACGGCGTACAAAAAGAAAGAAGTATTTTCTATAGTTTGGTCTGTAAGGGTTAGTTATATTTTACGAGTTGATCACGGATTGATATCAATTAGAGAACCATTGAAAACCAGTACTGGAGTACTGGACAGCTGTTTCATCCTATTCGTGACCAGTGAGGTCCAATTAGATGTCACGTGTGTGGATGGATGTCCCACCAACGACAATGGTTGGGAACGCACTAAATCATGAATTGGTTAAAGTTAGAATTCATGGACTGGCCATTGAATCGGGTCCCAGTGGCTGAATGCTATACGAGCTAGCTTGTCTTGTAACCAGAAGGTCCTCGGTTCGAATCCCAGTGGGTGCGTACTGCCGATGATTCCCAAACTAAGATGAAACAGCAGCTGTCCAGTACTCCCTGGTTTTCAATGGTTCTCTAATTGATATCAGTCCGTGATCAACTCGTGAAAGAAGTATTGACAAGAATCGAAAATAGAATCAAGGGTATGTTGAAAAAGGCACTTCCCACGACTAGACTGACTCTCCTCCTCCTTCTTTATGGCACGAAATGTTCACTAATACAGTTCACAGTAAATAAGTGTCCTGCTCATGTCAACTCCAAATGTATGTACTACTGATTCGTGTGCGCTTGCGGTGGCAAGTACATAGGCAGGAGGAGGAGAGGAGACCAACTACCCGATTTTCTGAGCATATCCCTAACAGTTTGAAAATGCAATCACTAAATATCTGAGTGAAACAGGATATATAGTGAAAACAAGTCGAGTCTTCAGGGTAATCAATAAATACACAGAGAGGCGTGACTACTTCGCTCTGCATAAGGCATTACTATCAACCGATTCCAATCTAATCTCTGTATACACAAAGATAGTGTCATTAGTATCGCGCTAACCTGGTAACCAGATGTCCCTATGCTGAAGGAGAGCTGTGAAATACAAGAATCACCTGAGCATTTCTTATCCTACAAAAGTGTTCGTTCTCTCTCTATTCAAAGTAATCAAGAGAACTGGGTGCATGAAAAGAAATACCATTTCATAAATTATATTGCAAACATTTATAAATTTGTAACAATTTATCTGTTTTCCATGGTTGATTGGTTATTCTTTCCAGCTTCATTTTAAAGTATAAGATCACATGGGGTTCAGTTAAACTATTATTTATTTATTTATTTTTGTTTGTTTGTATTCCCTTCAGTTCCCAGAGGAGCAAAGGATTTATTTTTTGCAGGGTGGCATTACTAGCCTAAACCTCCCCCTCGTTACCGCGTCTACTACAGGCTAAGCGGGGTTAAGCAGTGCGTCGATAGGGGATCGAACCCCAGACTAGGTGAATGGTTGGTGAGTATTCTACTATTGACCTACTCTCTAGGGCATACATTATTCCCCTATTCTGCTCTATCCTCTTCTAAAGTATAATCTGCATGCACATACAACATACATTGGCCAACTTGGCGCTATTTATTATTCTAAGACTTAAAATGAAGTTTTCATCAGTCGGGAGGAAAGAGAACAAGACAACTTACACTCAGTATTGACAGGTGAACATAGAGAAAACTGAGGTGATGAAGATTCCTGGCCAATAGCAACACCAGCAACAACAATCATCATAAATGGGAGGAATCTGAAAGAAGCAACCTCCTTCACCTACCTACCTACCTATCGACCTGGGAAGCATCGTTTCAACTACAGGGAGACGGAACTGATGAGGATATCAAAGCAGCGAGGATCAGCAAAGCAAGGCCAGCTTTCATCACTCTCAATCCTGTCTGGAGGTCAACAGTGCTGGTCAGCATGAAAAAAACGATCCGGATTTTCAGCTCTAATGTGAAGTCAGTGCTACCTACCATACGGATCAGAGACTTTGCCAGCGCGTCACGAAGGGCACTTCGAACAAACTACACACCTTCATCAACAGCTGTCTTCGCTCAACACTCAAGATCAGATGGCCGGCCAGAAAAGATCAGCAGTAGTGGGAGGAGTCTCTGGCAACCAACGAACCGACCCAGCAGGAACC